AGCTTTGGCATCAACTGCTGGTTGGGATTGAGTTCCAACAGCAGTAGCATTAGGGTGGCCATCAACAGGGGCATCATTGGTAGGAAGATCCATTATTTACAAACAAACATAATATTTTTAAAACCCTAAATAAAAACATGAACCAAAATATTAATATTCTTTAATCCCTAAATCAAAACACAAACTCTTAATATTTTTAAAACCCTAAATAAAAATATAAACAAATCATAATATTTTTCAAAACCTAAATCAAAACATGAACAAAATCATAATATTTTTCAATCCCTAAACCAAAATATAAACAACTCATAATATTTTTAAATTCCTCAATCAACACATGAACAAATATTAATATTTTTTAAACCCTAAATCAGAACAAGAACACATCTCATAATATTTCTCAAACTCTAAATCAAAACATGAACAAAACTATAATTTTTTAAAACCAAAACATAAACTGAACATAATATTTTTAAAACCCTAAATAAAAACATAAACTAAAATCTTTCAATCTCTAAATCAAAACATGAACAAAACTATAATTTTCTAAAACCAAAATATAAAAATAACATAATATTTCTAAAACCCTAAATAAAAACATGAACCAAAATCTTAATATTCTTTAATCCCTAAATCAAAACATAAACTCTTAATATTTTTAGAACCCTAAATCAAAATATAAACAAATCATAATATTTTTCAAAACCTAAATCAAAACATGAACAAAATCATAATGTTTTTCAATCCTTAAATCAAAACATGAATAACTCATAATATTTTTAAATCCCTTAATCAACAAACACATGAACAAATATTAATATTTTTTAAACCCTAAAATCAGAACATGAACATATCTCATAATATTTTTCAAACTTTAAATCAAAATATGAACAAATCAAAATATTTTACAAACACTAAATGAAAACATAACAATAAGAAACAGAGAATCATAAAATCAAAACAAGAAAATAAAAAATACTTAGAAACCCCTAAATCAACCATGATTAGAGAATCAAAATATGAAGTATTAACCAACAAAAAGCTACAAATTATAAATCAAAATATCAAAAATAAAAACCCCAAAATGAATAAAGAGAGATACTTCAATCTTTGGAGAATAACCCTCTTTCAGGGTTGAAGATCTAGCTTCGCACATCACAAAGAAACTCACAGATTAAGCTTCAAAGATAGAAAAACAAGGAGAAGTTTTGATTTGTTACGTGAGAGAGAGCAAAATAGAAACAGATAGTTTGGATTGCTTTGCTTTTTTCTGATTTGGTCTTTTCTTTCTTTATATATATTTGTTTTGCCTTTTCAATTTTTCTCTTTGAAAAAAGAGTTGACAGAAGTAGCTTTGTGAAGTGTGAGAGACAAAAGCAGACTTTGTGAAGTGTGAGAGACAGACATTGTAAACTGTGAAGCGTATATGAAACGCTTGGTAGGTGGGTGGGTGCGTGGGTGGGTTAAAGAGAAAAGCAAAAGACAATTGAAATATCACAAAATAATTAAATCAAGACAAGTGTACATTATTTGTTGGTCGATTCGATTTCAACGGATGAAAAAATACAAAAACCACTACTGACCGTGAATCCAAAAAAATCAAATAAAATGAATCGCAGCCGACCATCTACTTTGTCAAGACCATCTATTATGTGTCGAGTTCGGTCGGTTCGGGTGGGTTCTGTGGGTGGAGGGTTTCCATGAACAACCCTAGTTGCTACCCTCACTATTTATACATGTGCTTAACCGATGAGGGTAATGACACATTGTTAACTTCTGCCACCCTTCATTATTATTTTTGATAAGCCTTATCTAAGCTTCTAAGGCTTATCCTAAAGACTATATATATTTTTTTCTTTCTTTGACCCTTATAAAGGCTACATAATATCATATATATAAATATATATATATATATATTGGTGATATTAACTTAGTGTTAAAATTAATTAAACATTTGGAGTATCACATTTCTCCCTTACTAAATAGAAGTTTGTCTCCAAACTTGACATATCTCAGTTTTCGAAAATGTGGGGGCATTTGGCTCGCATTTGATTTTTAGTTTCCCATGTTGTTTCTTCAACATGATGATTTCTCCATAAGACTTTCACAAGAGGTATAGTCTTGTTTCGGAGCACCTGATCATGACGATCGAGAATCTGCATTGGTTGTTCTTCATAAGAGAGATCTTCTTGAACTTCCAGGTTCTTATAATCGACAACATGCCTGAATTTCGAAGATACCGTCGAAGCATCGAAACGTGAAACACATTGTAGACATTGGACAGTTCAGGTGGCAGTGTAAGGCGATATGCTATAGGGCCAATCCTTTCTAGTATTTCGAATGGCCCGATGTAACGTGGGTTTAACTTTCCTTGCTTTCAAAATCGGATAACCCCTCTTATTGGTTAGATCTTTAGGAAAACATGATCTTCTAATTGGAAATCCAATTCTCGTCTTCGTGTATCTTTATAGCTTTTCTAAGGTTCTGAGCCATGCAAATTCACTGTTGGATGAGTTGAATTTTATCGCTTGTTATTTGCACGATTTCAGGGCCCAATAACTTTTTCTCTGCAACTTCTGCTCAGCATAGGGGTGATCAACACCTTCTTCCATATAGTTCTTCGTATGGTGCCATTCCAATGCTTGCTTGGTAGCTGTTGTTATAGGCAAATTCCACTAAAGGTAGGTGCTCATCCCAATTACCCTTGAGGTCTAGCACGTAGGCAAGTAACATATCTTCCAAAGTCTGGATTATTCTTTTGAATTGTCCATCAGTTTGCGAGTGATAAGCACTGTTAAACTTCAGTGTTGTTCCTAAAGCTTCTTGCAATTTGTTACAGAAATGAGATACGAAGTGGGGGTCTTAGTCAGACACAATTGAAATTGAGGTGCCATGTAATCGAATGATTTCCTTGATGTATAAGGTAGCAAACCTATTGAGAGTGTATGTGACTTTGACTGGTAGAAAATGCGCTGACTTTGTCAATCAGTCTACTATAACCCATATTGTATCATTCTTTGAGACTGACTGTGGTAGCCCGACCATGAAGTCCATAGTAATGTGCTTCCATTTCTATTCAGGAATAGGGAGTGGTTGCAGTGTTCCTGCAAGTCTCTGATGTTTTGCTTTAACATGTTGACAATGAAGACATTTGGAGACGTGGCTTGTTATGTCCCTTTTTCATTCGTGTCCACCAGTAGTATTCTTTCTGATCATGATACATCTTAGTATTTCCAGGTTGGATAGCAAACCTCGAGCTATAAGCTTCCACCAATATCTTCTTTTTGAGCTTTGGAATGTCGGGTATGCAAATTCGATTTCAAAATTTTAGTATCCCATTTCTTATAGTGAAGTCAAGATCGGGCGTACTTCTTTGCTTATCGTATTTTTTCTTCAGAAATTTATCTTCACCTTGGTGTGCTTTAATTTCTTCCATCAACGTGGGTTCCACGATTATGTTGGCGAGCAATCCATTGATCTTGTGGGGAATGAGCGTGCATGCCAAACTTCTAGTAATCTTTCGACTCAATGCGTCAGCTACTATGTTAGCTTTGCCTGGGTGGTGGTGAATCTCCACATCATAGTTTTTCATAAATTCCAGCCATCGTTGTTGCCTCATATTTCGTTTCTTTTGTGTAAACAAATATTTAAGACTTTTTGTGATCTGCGTAGATCTCGAAGGTTACTCCGTAGAGATAATGAATCCAAATCTTAAGGGCGAAGATCACCGTAGCTAATTCCAGATCATAGGTTGGGTAGAAGCTGCACTAAACAATTTTGCACATACTCCCAGAAAAAAAAAAATACTATAAGTAGCTCATATAAGCTGCACCAAATAGCCCCATTGTAGTTGGAGTTTTGGCTATCTAGGATTCATGACTTAAAGTATTTACGAATTAGGTAGTGAATGAACATTGGATACCATGAGGTGGCTTAATATATTGTGAATACTTGAATTCCTTGGAGTCCTTTGAAAGGCTTATTAAATATCTAACTGCCTCTGGGGGACCTTTAATATTAACGACCTTTAAAATCCTCATGTTAAAGAAAATTTCCCTTGGAATTTGTTGATATTAATCAAATAGGTCTATGACCTTTGTGTAGTTATAGTGTCTTAAGGGCATATTACAGGTTGTAGTGGGTCATTGGTTCTAATTGTTGCTTAAGCAAGAAAGTTAAAGAAGAAAAGAAAAACCATTACCTAATTGAATATTCTTGTAATCAATTTGAACTTTGTTATCTGCACATTCCGTTTGCAATAGACTGTAGGGAATATGTTAATAAAATTCTCTTGCTTCGAGTGTGTCTACTCCACTGTAGCACTGCTTCTTTTTTTTTGGTGGGTACTGTAGCACTACTTCAATCCATGCAAGTTCCGCAGTTTGTTGTAAACTGTCAAACTGACTTGCACTCATGGAAGTTGCTTTGCTTATAGTCCTCAATAACTCTTAGGCTGTGTTTGGATTATGGATTTTGGTGGGAATTTGGAAAGGGAAATAAAAAGGTGAGAGAAATGAAGAAAAAATAGCTTTTATTTCATTCACATTTCCCTCACATTTTTCTTTTCCTTTTTAAACCTCTACCCAAATTCATGATGCAAACACAGCCTAAACGTGACTTGCTCATTTGTTTACTCTTTGTTGTTAATGGGCCTGTCAGAGGGTTGTACTTGAACTCATTACCTTGTAATTGATGACTCAGTCCCTCAGGCATTTAGCCCTAAGGGGAACAGGCAGCTTTCTTACTTGCTCTCTCAGGAACGGCCCAGCTTTCTTATTACAAATGAGATATAATTATGTAAATGTTTGCTTAGATGTCTCCTGAAAATAACCCCCCCCCCAATCTGTTAACAAGTTTAGAACAATATTACAGTTGTAGGATGCCAATTCCTTTCCCATTTGAACTAACACTGATTCAATGTACTGAATTTCACTGTTCAGTAACTAACTTACTATTTGTTTTCTATGGTTACTAGGACGACGAGGCCAAAGTGAAGACGACATTTAATACACTTTTAACTTATGTGAAGAATGTTGCGACAAATCCCAATGAGGAGAAATTCCGTAAAATTAGACTCACTAATGCCACCTTTCAGGTGAGGACTGCTGTTACAAACATTGTTGTGTGAGTGATTTTTCGACCACACTGCCAAATAGGTACCCAGCTGGAGAGCACCGGCAGAATAGATTAAGCCTGAACAACCTGCAACAGAAAGAAGAGTTTCGGGCGGTGGCTCGTCCACCTGGGGGCACTCCGAGGATCAAGTCAGTACTCAATATCTCTCAAAGATACCCAATAGTGCTTAACTCACTAGACAGAATATCAAAAGCATACCTTAGACCCATGGGGGTGTCTCCCTTTTATAGCCAACACAATCCTAGTCCCAATAGAAGCCTAGCTCTAATGGACTTAGGATTACTGCTAATCTTGGACTCCTAGTAGAATTAGAATAAACTCTCTAAGAGTCTTATCTTTACCCAAACTGAAGTCTTCTCCCATTCTAGGACTCTTGTCCCTTATCTGCTTATCTCAGATTCTGGTATTCTCGCAGATAACCTCGGCCTAGCCGAGATTACCTCGGCATCGTGACCAGGACACGTGACACCTCGGCTGACACTTTGGTGTCACCTCGGCCACATGTTTCCATTCAAAAATTATGTCCCCACAACTGCCCCCTAGGTTCTATTACCTCGGCATCCTGAGGTGATGGAACCTATATCATTCCTTCCTTTAATCATGACCCCGGTTTAACTTCAACTTGTAAACTTTTCTCAAGTTTCAACAAGTGTTAAACATAATCTCGGTTTAACTTCAACTTGTAAACTTTTGTCAGGTTTCAACAAGCGTTAAACATAATCTCAGTTTAACTTCAACTTGTAAACTTTTCTCAAGTTTCAACAAGCGTTAAACATCATCTCGGTTTAACTTCAACTTGTAAACTTTTCTCAAGTTTCAACAAGTGTTAAACATCATCTCGGTAAACTCTTCTCTTCTCGGACTTAATCATCTTAGGCCGAGATCTTGTCTTCTGGGATCTGGGATCCGAGATCTGGAATCCGGGATCGGCTTACTCGGGCTGAGCTCTTGTCTTCTCATATCTAGTGTTATCTTGGTTTGACAGGTGAGGTCACCTTGGCATCTTGTCGCTTTCTCTGGAGGTAATCCCTCAGATCCTCCTTGGTTCGTCTAGGAGCTCGGCTATCTTCGGATTTCAGCCTCTTTGGTGCACTACTTCCTGTGTCATTGCGAGTCCTTTTGGACCTCCCTCCATTAGTCGCGTCGAAACAGAGGTCCTTCCCCTGAATATGCCGATGTTCTTTAGAGTCAGCTTCTTTGGTGCGATGTGTCCTCTGTGAATCTGCCCTTCTTGATTCTCCTCGTCCGACCTCCCTTGAAGGCCGGTGAGAATGTTCCTTGGTCCTATCATGCTGAGGAGTCATAGGAGTTGTCTTCTGCCCCCCTGCCTGGGCATCTTTCTTGGCTACTGGAATCGACGTATCTTGTGACGGGAACGGTGGCTGGGGGTCGTCCTTGTTATAATACTTGCTTCGGTCTGATTTCTTCGGCACGTCGCCCTCCTGGCCAACGTCCTCTTCTCCGTGATTTTTATCATGAGTTTCTTTGTTGTAGTTGTCTTCTTCGACGCCAAGGTCAATATGTTTTCCATAGGGGTGGGCGCGGGTCGATTGCGGCCACGGAATCTTCAATCCACCATCCGTCCGCCAGATTGGCGGATTGGAGAAAATCAATCCACATCCGTCCGCCAATCCGGTGGATGTGGATTGAGCGGATTGGCGGTTTGGCGGATGGATGCGAATCGGTTTGGCGGTTTAAGATTTTATAAATTTTCAACATAATTCAACTTGTCTACTTCCTCAAAAAAAAAAAAAAAAAGTATTATAGTCAATGACTTAAAAAACTATTACAATCACTATATGCCTCATCTAAAAAAAGAAAATTTGAAATTTTAAAATATCACAATCACTGCATGGCTCATCAACATATTGCACTCACAGCATGATTCATCCACATATTACAATCACAACATTATTCATCCACATAAAGTATTACAATCTGTGGTTCTTAAAATATAATAACAATTCAAACCACCAAAACCATGAACATGACAGTAGTAGAGATTGTATGTCTCTGTATTGTTACATCTATATATGTTTTTGAAAACAAAAACCAATCAGCATATATCATATTTTCTATTTATTATTTTTAGAATTAAATTTAAAAACCAAAAAATATAGATAAATAATACGTTTATTTTTTTCAATTCAAAAAATATATTCAAATTGAAAACTTTTTTTCAATAGAATATTTAAACTATTTTTCAATTAAAAACACAATCAAAATATTTAAACAAATTGAAAACATAAATTCTTATAAATTATTAGGGGTGCTTACGGTTTGGCGGTTCGGTTGCGGCCAAAGGTGTCTTAAATCCGCCATCCGTCCGCCAAATTGGCGGATTGGGGAAAATCAATCCGCAACCGTCTGCTCGTCATTACGCATCCATCCAAAATGCGGCGGATCGATTCAGTTCGGTCGGTTTTGGCGGATCGGTATATCCGTTGCTTACCCCTAGTTTCCCACTTTCAGTAGGGGTGTCATCCCTAACCTTCTCTCTTGGTCTGTCGTTGGCCATCTATTCTCCTTTCGTTCCCACAGACGGCGCCAAATTATGTGTGTCAATTTTTGACCACACTGCCAACTTAGTACTCAACTGGAGAACACCGGCGGAATAGATTAAGCCCGAACGACCTGCAACAGAAAAAAGAGTTTCCGGCGGTGGCTTGTCCACCCGGGGGCACTCCAACGATCAAGTCAGTACTCAATATCTCTCAAAGATAACCAATAGTGCTTAACTCACTAGACAGAATATCAAAAGCATACCTTAGACCTATGGGGGTGCCTCCCTTTTATAGCCAACACAATCCTAGTCCCAATAGGAGCCTAGCTCTAATGGACTTAGGATTACTGCTAATCTTGAACTCCCAGTAGGATTAGGATAAACTCTCTAAGAGTCTTATCTTTACCAAAACTGAAGTCTTCTCTCATTCTAGGACTCTTGTCCCTTATCTGCTTATCTCGGATTTCGGTATTCTCGTAGATAACCTTGGCCTAGCCGAGATTACCTCGGTGTCATGACCAGGACACGTGGCACCTTGGCTGGCACTTTAGTGACACCTCGGCCACGTGTTGTCATTCAAAAATTATGTCCCCACAATTGTGAAAGTCATTTGTTAGTTAGAACATGCAAGTCAATATCGCAATTTGCATACCAAGAAATGTTGCACCTTTTTTCTTGATAGGTGGGCTATTGACAAACTTTTTAACTCGTGTCATAAATCAACTTTTAATTGTGGCACTGGTGTTACTAGAAAATGCTAATATCCAAATTACACGTGTTAAAATAGTTAATTTAGTGATCTAAATGACCCTTAAGAAGCATGGACACGAACATGCGACACGACATAGATACAATACAGACAAGCTAATTTTCAAAAAATGTAGGACACGACACGTGGGGAACACGCATAAGATGTATAATTTTATATATTTATTATATGTTATATATATCAATATATCATTCAAAGAAAATAAAAAATACAATATGACCTAATTTCTATAAATTTATATGGTTTTTGTTTTATTATTGTATCTTAAGTTGTTTTGTTCAAACTTATAATTAATTTCACATGTGTCTAATCGATAGACATTTGTGTTTAAGAGATACATACGTGTGTCCTTAAAGTGTCCAGAGAATATCCAGGTCTTTAAAAAATATTAAAAAATAAGATATGTTTTAAAGAGTGTCGAACATGTGTTGGGGAAGTGTCCAAAGAGTATTGGTGTCTAACACGGACACGACACGGATATGTCACTTTCTTAGAAGTGTCTGTGCTTCTTAGAATGACCCAAATTTTTTTCCCAATATATTATTCCATGTTGGTTTCCTTAGTAAAAAATAATTCAATATAATAAACTAAAATCTAAGGTAAGTGAAGTTTCAGTATGACAAAAGATAAAAAATGAGTTATAATGCTCATAGAAATGTGTTGCTACATGATTAATTTGGGGGAAAAAAAGAACCTACATGTTATTGGATGTTTAATTGTTATAAAAAAAAAAAAAATTATTGTAGAAGTACCTTAAATTCTTAGTGTAATCTATGTGAGTCTATTCCTATTGTACTTGTTTTAGAGATCCCGTTACAAGTACTAGAACGATCCATGTTCTAGGTAAACATAGGATGGTGGCACTTTGGTTGATCAGCTACCTTCTTGTCATTGTTGATTATCATTCTTTTTAACTTAATTTTTCAATCTGTTACCCTTGCCAAAATAGCATCCCCCCAATCCCAAAAAAAGAAAAGTGGGTCGTTTCATTTTTCTTGTTTAGTGGGTATATGTGATGTTTTATTGTGATTGACAGGCTAGAGTGGGTGCACTGAAAGGTGGAATCGAGTTTCTTGAGCTGTGTGGGTTTGAGACAATTGAAGGAGGTGAGTTCTTGTTTCTACCCAGAGACAAAGTTGATAGAGCAGTGCTGAACGAAGCTGGGACCGAGTTGAATAATGCGATAAACAATCCTTTCTTTGGGGTTCTCTAATCCCAACTTTTAAGTTGAAAATGCATACACTGTAAACATGAGGTTTGTTTTTCATATTTCATATAATTTTTAGTTGAAATGCATCCATCATTGTCAACTTTGTTGTAATGACTAGGACTGAGGGGTTTGTTTTACTTCATACATGGATGCAAATTGGTGAGTGGTTTTTTTTTTTTTTTCAAAATTACTATAAAGTGTTACCCCACAATAAAAATTGTTGGCTGGCCTCTACTTTTATTATTGGTCGTCTTGGTTTTGCATTAAGAATAATGCTATACAAGTTACATTTGTGCATCTCTGTTTGGTTGACTTTTCAAGTATGACTAGTTTGCTCAAAGTAATATAAAAAAAAAATTATCATTATTTTCATAGTGGTTTTTATTTATTTATTTATTTTTTTTGTGGTGGAAATAATTAGTCAATAAAGCAGTGCTGAACGAAGCTGGGACCGAGTTGAATAATGCGATAAACAATCCTTTCTTTGGGGTTCTCTAATCCCAACTTTTAAGTTGAAAATGCATACACTGTAAACATGAGGTTTGTTTTTCATATTTCATATAATTTTTAGTTGAAATGCATCCATCATTGTCAACTTTGTTGTAATGACTAGGACTGAGGGGTTTGTTTTACTTCAAGCATGGATGCAAATTGGTGAGTGTTTTTTTTTTCCCCCTTCAAAATTACTATAAAGTGCTACCCCACAATAAAAATTGTTGGTTGGCGTCTACTTTTATTATTAGTCGGCTTTGTTTTGCATTAAGAATAATGCTATACAAGTCACATTTGTGCATCTCTGTTTGGTTGACTTTTCAAGTATGACTAGTTTGCTCAAAGTAATATAAAAAAAAAATTATCATTATTTTCATAGTGGTTTTTATTTATTTATTTATTTTTTTTGTGGTGGAAATAATTTTTGAAAATTTAAAAATATCTTTTTGGTGTTTATTTTTATCAAATTAGTTTTTACGCTTTTTAAAAAAGTTTTAAAAATAAGTTTTGAAAACTTGAACAAGGTTGTGTAGCAATTTTCAATGTAAGCATTTTTTCTTTGCAGTCATTTTTTTTCTTCTTTTCATCTGAAGTGTTTGGAGCTTTTAAGCTGAAGAAGTGTTAGCCTGTTGGTTGCATTCATTTGTATTGGCAGATATTGCAACAGATGTTCATGGCTGGTGGTTGTTTACCCTCATCTATTTTGTTATTTGCTTTTGTTTTCATTTTGGGGGAGCAAATAGCTTTGATTTGATCAGATCAAGCTTCTTTCTGTTGGGGCCGATTTTTCTGTTTGGGCTTTTGTCAATGGAGTAGATTGGTTCAATTAATCACCTAGCTCCAATTGTTTTCATTATGCTAATTAAGGTCATAAAAAAAAATCAAATTACTTAAGTTCGACTCATGTCTGGTTTAATAAAAATTTATTTGAAATCAATTCATCACAAGTAAAAAGTTAAACGTTTTAAAACTCATTAATCTTTTGAACTTCATTGGTTTTAGACTCAATGAAAATATAAACCAAATTTAATGGATCGCTTATACATTATGAAAAAATGACAATTATTTTCACAATTTGGATGAAATTTATTGACGCCCCCTATAATTACGGAACCTTTAAGGTTGTGTATGGTTTAAGAATTTGGGGAGAGATTTAGAAATGGAAATTGAAAAGGACGGTGAAATATGAATAAAATATATTTATATTTAACTTAGTTTACACATCTTTTTCCTTTCTCTTTTTAAATCTTTCTCAAAATTTATGAATCAAATACAGTATAAGGGTATTAATGGAGGAGATGAAATTGTTATTTACCCTTAGATAATTTGTACTTAAATATGTGATGATGTTAAATGAACCAATTACTCTCCTTCTTACCTAATAAATTTACTTAATTATTCTCATTTTCTCAACTGTATTATTCAAATATGGAATATAATTGTTTGGATGCAAATGTTTTTTCCTTTTATTTATTTATTTATTTTTTTATGCAAATGTTGTTTACGACAATATAGTGTCAGGGTGAATCACCAATAAATTTCAAAATGTAATATTGTAAACTGTTTAGTCCTTTATTTTTTCGTATGAACCTAAAGGTCCCATTAAAATAAAAATTACATAAAATGTAATCACTTACATGTTTGGGTTTAAATTTCTAAGGATAAAAGTGGGTTTCTCTAAATATAAAATTATACATTTGGACAATTCATACTATAGAGGTTTTGGGTTTTCTCTTCTAGAACAAATCTCACATTACGAAAAAAAATGTAACACTCTAATAACGTAACATTCTAATGTAACACTAACGTAACATTCAATGTAAAACACTTAAAAACTCCTTGATGCACTTTTCTCAAACGTAACAACGTAATACTCTAAAAAAACTTATTAGTGTATTTTTTTCAAATGTATCACTCTAATGTAACAAAAAAAAAAAATCTTTAGTATACTTTCTCTAAACGTAACACTCCAATCAATGTAACACACACAAAAATACTAAAAAATTTCTTAATGTAATTTTTCTAAACGTGACATTCACAATTCGAAATTATACATTTGCTCAAAGTTTACCAGGGAATTTTTGTACTTCTTTTGGAATGGTTTGAAAAATCTCACATCCTTTTGGAATGGTTTGAAGAATCTCATATCATTTTTTTGGAGTGTTACATTGGATTGTTACGTTTGAGAAAAACACACTAATGAGTTTTTTTATGTGTTACATTGGAATGTTACACTAGTAATTTTTTTTTAAAGTATTATATTAGAGTGTTACGTTTGAAAAAAGTATGTTAAGAATCTTTTTTTTTAGTGTTACATTAGAGTGTTACATTTGAGTATTATATTAGAGTGTTACAGTACATTTGCCCAAAGTTTGCTAAGAGATTTTTGTACTCCTTTTGAAATATTTGAAGAATCTTATATCTTTTTGAAATGTTTGAAGGATTCCATATTTCAAGTAATTTTTGTACTCATTTTGAAATATTTTCCAAATAGAAAAGATTCTCATATAAAAATTCACCCTAAATTTGATTCTCATAGATTGTTTATATTACCTTTCTAGCACAAAAGAAAAAAAAGAAGGAAACACAACATAAATAAGGGTATAACCATAAATTGAAATTTTAAATAATATATTAAATCTACCCTTCCAAAATTAATGTGACTAATTGGTCAATAAGAAACTGTTTGGGGTTAAATAGATTATTATTCCTCAAAATGTGATTTATAGATAAATTTTCCAAAGAGTTAAACAAGACATTTTAATCTATTAAATGATAATATCAGCATTTTTCATCTATTTTACTTGCCAGTGATTAATGATATGGATCAAACCATTAAGCAATTTATATGGACGGTATAATTATGCTAATATACTTATGGATTGTTTGGGATGATTTAAATAAACGTATTTTTTGATTTTTTATGAAAAGATAAAAAATATGATAGAGAGGTGATATAACTTAAATAAGATAAAAAGATATGCTAAAGTAGCACATCCCAAACAAGGCCTAAGACTAGCTATAATATTTTTTGTTATTCCGAAGGTTGGTGCAATATGTCAAAAAAAAAGGGAAAAAAATGCAAATCCTTTGGCTATGTTTAATTTATGAATTTGGAAAGAAAAAATGAAAAAGTGTGAAATGTAGGTGAAATATAGTTATATTTTTGTCGCGACCCAACCCCTGGTGATTAGAGCTGGAATCGCAATTTGCTAATTTATTTTTAACAAATTAAGTGGCGCAGCCGGTGTAACAACTCGAAAATTTAAGTTGTTTCTTAAATTTTATATACGTATTATTTAATTATAAATCAGAAAAATCTTAAATATTTCGTAAGAGTGAAAGAAAAGAAAATATTTGATTTTATAATTATATATGCTAAGATATAATTTAATTTGGTATTAATTTATCAAAAGTGTGATTAATATATTGTTTGGGGCAAAATCAAAACAAATATAGTTAAATGAGGCCAAGAAAGAATATAAGAAGATGCATGCTGGCTGGAAGCTTGCGGAATGGGCACTTGGGAAGGGTAATCTATAGGAGAGATGAATCATCCATTAGGTGTAATTAGTAAAGGGGTGACTCATCACCTTTAGCTCAGGTATAAAAACGGGATGCCTGAGAAGCCAAAGAACCAAAAAGAAAAAGAAAAAGAAAAAAAAAGAAAAAAAAAAAAACAAAAAGAGAAGAGAGAAATTAGTAAAAGAATGAGTAAAGAAAGGAGCGTCGGAAAGCCAGAGAAAATATAAAGGAATAGTAGAGATTAATATTAAGGTGAGTTATATTATATCTTGAGTCACCATACATATTTTACATATATTTTTTGCGTTATCATAATTTATTTTATGCAATTTATGAACCTTATTTTATATAATAAGGAAAACCCATGAATATAACTGTTTATTAAAATGTGTTTTGAGTAATTATTTTATATGAACCACCACGGAGGTCCCAAGTCTTGGGAGACTTAAATAACTATTGGCCATCTGATTAGTCACTTTGTAACCCTCTGTCTATCATGGACTCTGATTTCTGGTACGGACCTAAGTGCTAAACTATTGTGGGAGCCACCTGTAGAGTTTGTACGAGTCATTTCTTGAATCTTATTCTGGTGTGGAGCAAAGTCCTACACTATTGTGGGAGTCACCTCTAGAGTTTGTATGAGTCACCTCTTGAGTCCATACATCTGTTCTGTTCTATACCGTAGTTATCATCATTCTGTTTATATGATTTCTGTGTTATATGTCAAATGATTTTCTTATTATATATTCTGTATTTTAATATCAAACTCTGTTTAGCCTCATAATTATCCATGGTGAATTTTATGCTCTTATACTCTTAATATAATATTTCTCACTCTGCCATATGCTTATAGTTGTTTACCACTTTCAGGTGACATGTCAGGGCCAACGTATGGGATAGGCACAAAGCACTTTGTAGACATAGTTCAGCTCTGATAATTTAATTAAATAGAAGTTTCAATGATTATTTTAGTACCTTCACTTAAATATTAGTTCCACTCGCGTTTATTTATTTGTTCAAGAATTGTCCGGAAGTAACTTCAGTTACTGGCCATGTAACACCCCGAAATAATCCGACATAAATTAAACACATCAACCCACGTCCACTAAACAATAATAACGATACTCCAACCTTTACACCATTAATCAATGAGGTTTATACAAAAGTTCCACATGTGAATTATACATTCAATGATATAGAAATACATGAATTTAT